CTCTCTCTCTCTCTCTCTCTCTCTCTCTCTCTCTCTCTCTCTCTCTCCTTGGTTTTGTTTTTTCTTTCCTCCCAGTTAAATGCTTCTTCCAAGATTGGGATATGTTACCATGGGAACTCTTTCATTGCCTAGAAGAGTGAAGACATGGACATTCTTCTGAGAGTTTCAAATTGACTATGATTTTTAAAAAATAAATAAACAATAAACCAAGGGCCAAGGGCCGGACATGGGGAGGGCTGGGGCCGGGGTTGAGTTTGATTACTGAATGTCAACCCCAGCAGATGTCATCTCAATAATCAAAAAAAAAAGCAGCAGTGAAATGTTTCGAGTCTTGAATAAAATCCTTCAGTCTCTGGGCATGAGGAGACTCACGTAGCCCCAAAGGGTCTTCTTCACAAGCCACCAGAGTAAGGAACTAATGAGCAGAAGTCAAGTAGATGTCAAAATGAAGTAAATTCCCTTTAGCAAAGTAATCCGAACTAAAGAAACTATGACTGTTCTTACGGGGCCAATCCTACTGCTTCCAGACTGGGAAGAAGACAGCTTAGGGGGAGAAAGCACTCAGCACATGAGGACCTCAAAGCTCCAGAACCCACGGAAGGCCTGACATGGTACTGTATGTCTATTGTCATAGTACCGGGAGGCAAGCTAGGAAGCAGAGATGGGCCAGTGCCTGTCATCTGGCTAAATTGGCCTATAGAGCAGCAAACAACCGTAAGACCCAGTCTAAGGCAAAATCTAAACCTCAAAACACCTGAGGTGGTCCTCTGATCACCGCATGCTCTCAGGCAGCAAACGTAAAACCCTCTCTCTCTCTCTCTCTCTCTCTCTCTCTCTCTCTCTCTCTCTCTCACACACACACACACACACACACACACACACACACTCAAGAAAGGCTTATCTTAGATAAGTACCTTCTGCTCTGCTACCATAAATCCTTCTCTGAAAAATGTTCTAAGATACCAGCATCACAAATACTGATACTATCTGAAAACCCGCATCAGAGCCCAGTCTACCCCTGATAGAGAGATATACCAATGTCCTGGATGTGTTGACAGAGATGGGTCACTGATGTTAGTCAGACATTTAGGGGCAAAGTTGAAGGATTACCATAGCAACTGGAATGCTCCATTCCCAGAGGCTGAGCCCCCCTCTCCCCACTTCTAAACAAGCAGCTGATGGCTCATAAATGCGGTGGGACGTCGTGGGGCCTGTGTCCAGAGCTGTCATGCGAAGCGATGGCTAAACTGTTTACGCCTATAGACTGTCAACAACGCTTTCCAGCTTTCCTTCCTTTGCAAAGAGGGCAGAGCCTTCTCTCCGGACATTCTGTCGCGTCCTGACAGGTCTGACTCCAAAGATTAAAAAAAAGGACTTATCCCAGGGCTTGAAGTCCTGGAATTCCCACAGTATCCTGGTAGCCACCACAGCCCGCCCTTCCAAACCTACAACCAGCCAATCACTTTTCAAAGAGCTTTGTTCCCAGCTCTGCTGATGGTGTTCTCTGCGGCCTTCCATGACTCCAATAAAAGAGAAGCCTTGCTTGGGTGAGGAACAGGAAAGCTGAGCTGGTATCAGAGACTGCTGTGTAGGGGTTGCGAATGAGTGGCTTTCTCCTCAAATGACAAAACTACTCATTTATAAAAAACTCCTCAGGGAGCAATGAGTGGAGACAATCCGTTTGTAAGCCACATTCTGTCCCAGTGTCAAAAGGCTGGACACCACCCTAGCCTACAGGCAAACTCAGGGGCGACTGTACTGGTTACTGGTTAATGGTAGTGCTCCAGGGTAGACTTGGCTAATTTCTCCCCTGGTCTAAGCCATTTAGAGCCTTCGGCTTTGGTCCCCTCACCCACTCCCCAAACCCAAAGGATGCCATTCACTCTTTCATTGCCCTGCCTCATCTCGGGTCCCTCTATACGGCTGAGTCACTTCCTTTCTCCTGTTTCTCAGTGTGAGCCTGCTGTCTGCCAGGACTGAGAGTTAGCTAGACTAATCCCCACTTCCCCACTACTCCCACACCTCCTTCCTGGCTGTATTCCCTGGCCAGCTCTACTTTAAGAAAGGGCCTTCTATTTCAAAAGTATAATCTCTTGTGGAAGTTAACATCAACACATCTATATATTCATATATTTTATTTTCCTATACTTTAAATAGTCTATAAATATATGCCATCTTATTTTCAAATATAAAAAGGGAACAAAAACAGGTGAAACTAACCATATGTAATGACATAATCAGGTAATGGATTGCCTGGTAGGGATTTTTGTTTTGCTGTTTTTCCTATCGAAATACTTTTAACAGTGACTTTTAACAGAGACTCTGAATTGTTTTCATAGCCAGCCAAGGCTGAAATACTCATTGAAGGCACAAAAGAAGAACAAAGGGAAATTCATGCACAAATATGTACATGACCTGGAACATAAATTTCAGGAGATTTAAGGGCCAATCACACTCGGTGTCAATTGCCGTCACCCTTTGAGGAGGCTCCCCTCTAACCTCTTCCTTTACACCCTCTCAGTCTGGGGGACAGTCATATTTCTTTCCCAATAGAATATAAGGTCTTTTCAGAATATAACAATATCAAAAATAGGAATGATTACAGGCACTTCGTTTTGAAAGTATTTAGAAATCCTCATAGCATGGGTAAAGAATCTGCAAATATATAATCTTGGAGCTGGGTGTGGTGGTGCACACTCCAGGAAGAGTCAGGCAGATCTCTTTAAATGCAAGGCCAGCCAAGACTTTAAATTCAAGGCTACACAGGGAGACCTTGTCTCAAACAAAACAAGGCAAAGGCAAAACAAAACAAACAAAACAAAACACAACAAACAACAAAAAGTTCCCCACTTATCTTTGCGCAATCCCAAAAAAAGGGGGAAGGGGGTAAATGGAACTGGTGTCTTGGCCCCATGCTGCTTACAAAGAATAACAGTTCCTAAGAGGAAGGAAAACTTTTCTTGACAACCAAAAACTTTTCCATGGACTTAAAACAAAATCCCTACAAAGATTTCCCATGGAGGGCCTTGAATAGCATGTGATGGGAGAGGTGGTCACAATAAAGATGAAGGAGAGGCCTTTCTCCTTCCTTTGAAGGCCAACTCCAGTAGCAGGTTCAAACTCCAATGGGAGTTTGCTCCACGACTGGCCGGCCCTGAGTGGGCTGCAGCTCCAGGAACCTGGGGTTTGCCAACAGACCGGAAATACCAGCTCACTGGCCTCTGAGGAGATTCTTGACTGGAAAGGCTGGCTTCGGGAAAACCGATGTATCAAATAATTTTTCCCCGTGGATAAATACTTTCTGCCATAAAGATAAACGTCATTTTAATTACTAGATAAATCAGTGGGGTAAAGATTAACTGTAATAGAGAGAGGAGGCACGCTACTCTCAACTTCAGATTACCCCTCGGGTGCAAGCCTAGCCCTACCTATCAGCAGCTTGGGGCACTGTCACTACCTGCTTTTCTCCTCTCAAGCACTGCTTTGTCCTTTACGAGCCTTTTGTCTTGTCAGCCTCTATAAGTCAGTGTTTTCTTTCTCTCATGTTTAGTGTGACTGTGTGCGTGTGTGTGTGTGTGTGTGTGTGTGTGTGTGTGTGTGTGTTTGTTCACATGTGTGGGCATGTATGTACAAGTTCAAATGCACATGTACACGTTGAGGGAGGCCTTGGATTGACTTCAGAAGTCTTCCTCATTTACCTTCCACTCTTCCTTTAACCCAGAGCAGTTCAGTTAGTGAAGGGAGCCAGCCTAACGAGGCAGCTTGCTCTGGAGCTCCTTTTCCTTCTTCCCAGCACAACAGTTCTTCTCCAAATGAGGCAAGGCCGTGGGTCCCGTCCATATTCTTGCTGGCTTAGCTTTCCTTCTCCCCTTCTATCCACTTCCTTGAACAAAACTCATCCTCTATCCCGCTTAGACTCATATCCCAAGTACAAACAGCATTCAAGTCACCCTTGGGAACAGGTCTCCAAAGCCACCCTCATACAGCCCTCTCCAAAGCCACTGCTGCCACTTTAACCTATTACCAGGCTCTCGACGAACCAAAAAGATCAGTCTTGAAATCACAATATACCTGGGAACCTGAACTTTAATACTAGCACAGATCCTGTGTCACAGAACAGGATAAGTCTTGAACCCACCCACGACTTGGCAGCCACAGCCAAGGAGA